TCCCGAGGGATATGTAGCTTTTTGTAATTTATATAGTTCGTATGTTTTCTAATACCACGCGGACGAAGTCGCGGGCAACAGCTCGTGTTAGTATAGATTTAAACATGTTTAATTTTAATTGAGTTTAAATCTTCATTTATGCGATGCAATGCAATTAAGTACTTATTAACGATATGTCGTAACACAAAAAAGGGAACTCATTTCGAAAGTATTTTTATTGTACGTAAGTGTGTTCGAAAGTATATTTATATATACACTAGCTTCGCTCGCTCTTCGCTCGAGACTCTTTCCGCATGGTATTAAAAAAGAAAAGTGAGTAGTCGATGTGTTCTTCCAGACCATCCTCGTCATCTATACGAAATTTCATCGAAATTCGTTCAGCCTAAACGGCTACTTTACTACAAACTCTTATAAACATCCATCCATCTATCTCTACTTTCGCATTTATAATATAATATGATGTATGTTTTACATGTACAGTCGTATTACAATACAAAGTAGAGTGTCTCCTGTTATCTTGCCGAGACCTTTACGACGAACAATTGAGGTGGAATAAGAAGCACTCGTAAATTTACTCATAAGCAGTAAAGATGGCAGATAAAGGAAATGAAAGGAGCCCAGGTAACCGAAAGCCGATTATAACCACAAGGGTACCCTGTACACCTGGAAACAGATCTGATCTTTGAATCAATTTCGAATTTATTTCAAAGAAATTATTCAATCGCGTTACTAATTAAAATGTGTATTTTAAGAGTATGTTTTCGTTGTGATAATTTTTTTAACGTCGTACGATTTAGTTTACTTTTTTACTTTAAACAAAAAAGTGACAGATATATTGTCAAATTTATCAAAACAAGTACCATAAAACTAATAAAAAAAGGAATATATCCGACCACGGTTCCACGGAAAAAATAAGTTTGCTCAGGTGTAGAAGTTAAATGTACTGTGACGAATATATATTTCTGTACGAATTTTGTAACGGCATTTTAGTTTGCGTTCCGTTTTGCCATTGCATTTCTTTATTCCGCTGGATGCCGCGGGCTAAACTGCGAACGCACGTTTTTAATTTTTGTTTTTATTGATTTGTCGAATCCACGAGTTCTGTTCGTAATTGATATTTTAGATGAATATTCTGCAAATTATACGGGTAATGAAATACACCTTTATTTTACGAATTACTCTTCGTTATTGAAGGAATTTCATAGACAATGATTATACCATATTGAGTAAAAAAAAAAATAACGTGATGAAACATACGAGTGAAGAAATTCAAAGATATGTGTGAAGTCCACCAACCCGCATGTGCCAGCAGTGTTGACTAAGGTCTAGTCACCTCTTACGTATGGTAGGCTTCGAGCCCCTTGGTGAGGACGAATAGTGAGCTGGTGATGATAGTTGTCTTTGTGTTATTAATTTCTTACTTGCTAGCTGTTGCTCTTAAATATTTGATAGTGATTGTGTTCTGGGTTTTACAATTATAAAGTAGAACCGATTTGGGATCGTATACATTTCTACTCTGAAATCTTTCTCCTCTATAACACACCGTATCTAATTGAAACTATTTCTCGAGAGCACCGCTCTTGATCTCGCTCGAAGCGGATCCGGAATCTTAAAGCTTTACGAGACACGTCTTTAGTGAGTCACGATTTAAAGTTTCGTAGTGTACATTTCTATAAAGGAAATATCATTAATACCGTAAAGGAACAACTTAGATAATAATTTTAAAGATCAAAATATTATTTAATTGTATTGAAGTATGAATAAAATGTTTCACTTCGAAATGTTTTAAAAAATAACTTTTGTTTAACTGATGAGATACGTTAGGGGAAATACAATATTTATGTATCTTACTAATATTATAGTTACGAAAGTTTTCATGGATGAATGGATGTTTGTTAGACTTTGTAGCCTAAAAAGATGAAAAGATTTAGATGAAATCTTGGTTTAGACTTAGAGGATAATCTGAAAGAATACAGACGCTACTCACTTTTGTTTTTTTTTTAATTCCACGCCGATGGAGTCGCGGACGAAAGCTAATTGTTTCATATAAATAAAAAAATGTGATTAATTTAGCTCTCAGATTTATAGTGTGTCTAAATAATTTATATTAGTTTGACAATTCATTTCAAATTTAGTAGGGATGGGTTGTGTAAAATCAGTAATGAATCTTATCGATATTCGATTTTTATTCTTATAGACGTTGGAATCGATAGGATTATAGTTATAACTTATGAATATAGAAAAAAAAACACTGTTTTCTCAAATTAATAATGACTATAACAAATAATGAGAGTAGATAAATGTTTATTACTACTACAGCCGTACGTAATCGAATTGGATTTCGCTATTATTTCTGTCATCGCTAAATTCTCTACACTATAATTAATACTAGAATTGTCCTATAAATTAGTTAATAAGAAAATAATAATTTTAGTTCAGTTTGATAATTATTTAAACCGAATATCGATATTTAATAATTGTACGCTATGCGTGTTTGTTTCGTCACTACGATACCTGTCTATTTAGTACGACATTTGCCTTCATACAAATTGAATTCCATACTTCATATGCGTCATTTATCAAACTAATCTAAATTATTTAGACAAACTATAATGTTCATTTTGCTTGTCAGCATATATAAAATGTAGAGTAGAAATAAAGAAAAAAAAGAAAATAGAATTTCCTGCAACATTGTTGAGACAAGCAGAATGATGCCAGTTTGGTATAAGTGAATTTTAAAATTGTACACGTAGCAAGCGCGAATGAAGATAAGCTATTTGAACGCTCTGAACCACAGACTGCAGTAAAGTGCAACAATGTGGGAACGCGACCTAGTCTTCACGCTCTATGAAAACCGAATCTCTAAAGGTAATTCGTTAGTTAACTTTAGCAGAGTATTTTTAACTCGTATTTTATGTTAATAATTCTCAACGGGAATGTTGGTAACATACCTTAATGTTTAATGCTTACAGATATTCGATAACACTTTATGTTAATTAAACTTAATTTGGAGACATTAACAGTATTCCGCAAAGAATATTGAGACAATTAGGATGTTCATTATAAAATTTAAGTTTTATACTTGACAATGTAAATCACTTGGGCTAGATAAACCTGAAGAGCGGCGGTGGATCAGAAGTTAGAGCACTTGACGTGTAATCTACAGGTCCTGGGTTTGAATCCCGTTATGTACCAACGTGATTTTCGAATTTAATATGTACTGATTTAACCGACGTTCTTACGGTAAAGGAAAAACATCGTGATGAAACTTGCACATATCGGCGAAGAAATTGAAAGATATGTGTGAAGTCAACCAACACGTAGTGGGCTATCGTGGTTGACTAGGTCTAGTCTAAATCTAAGCTAAAGATCTATTCACGTATAGGACGCTGGTAATGATGTTGAGATAAATCTCTCTATTGATACAGTTTCTTTAAATAATATAAACTTAATTACAAATTGCGATACACAATAGGAATATTGAATAAAAAATATTATTATAAGATGTTAACAATAAACGCAGTAAATGGTATGTAAAGACAATCGCAATCACAACTACACTGCACGTTTAAGATACATTTGTTCAGGTGTGAGAGTTTAATGTACCGTGCGGATGTCGGCATGCAGGTTCAATGAGAATATCAACGTAAAACAGTTATTCATCTTATACGCTTTTAAACATTAAAACGCCCTTTTATTGAACACTTATGATAGCATTAAAAGTTGTAAATTGTATATGATTTTGTTTCGATTTACATACCTTTTAATGTTTTGCGTAACATGAAATTATTAAGATTGGATATGGGTACAAAGGTGGAGGAAGACTGAAGAAAGTATGATTGAATTATATGAAAGAGCATATGCTTAAGGAGGGAGTGAATTAAGATATGACGGATGATACAGATGTACGGAAGAGCGTCAAAGGTTGCTGTTGTTGATGATGATGATGATGATGATTATGATGATGATGAATATATATTGAAACTTTAACATTCATCATCTCATTTCGGTAATAGATCCTTTTGTAATGTAAATAACAAATTAAAGTTGCCCTTACACTCCGCTGCCATCTTCACGAAGCTTTAGTTTCTGTTAAGTCATGGATTTAAAGTTACACAGCTCTGTGAGTTCAACCATTACTTGATTCCACTCCAAAGAATACAAGCTGTCTCTGAAACATTTACGATGCTTCTTACTTAAATTAAAGCTTTTGCAGTACTATGTTCCTTAATGCAGTAACTAGTGTAAAAATGTAAAGTAATTATCCTAAAATTATTTATTGCTACAGATCAGTTAAACTGTACGCTATTGATGAAATAATCTTCTCTCAGTAAATAAAAAAAAAAATGCTTGAGTTAGTATAGCACAGTTGAGGTCTGGGTTATAGCCTTGGTTCTACGATAGCTAGAAACAAATGTAAAAATTGAAAGGAGTCAACTAGAATAAAAATGTTGAGATCCTCTACTAACTTAAGAGGGTTATTTATGACAAAACGAATACAGAACTAATTGTAACACAAGTAAATAACATGATAATACTAGCTTTCGCCCGCGATTCCTCCCGCGTGGAATAAAATAAAACGAAAGTAGCCTATGTGTTCTTCCAGACTATCCTCTACATCTATACCAAATGTCATTGAAAT